AGACACAGCGAGAGAGGGAACACAAGCAGGGGGAGTGGGAGAGGGAGAAGCAGGCTTCCTGTGGAGCAGGGAGCCGGATGTGGGGCTCGATCCCAGGACCCTGGGATCATGACCTGAGCCGAAGGCAGACCCTTATCGACTGAGCCACCCAGGTGCCCCTCCCCATCTCCTTTAAATTGCATGTTGGATCCCGCTGAGAGGTAGACATGGGGGTGGAACAGATGGAGATCAAAAGATCAGCTGTGTAATTACTGAAACTGGATGTGTGGCTTAGATCTCAGCTACAGCTGTGCTTTCTAATAGTTTCCCCCTGAGTGTAGATCTTGGGAAGACCCACAGGAGGGAGAATTGCTGCCTCACACCTGCCACGTCCCTATGATGGAGAGAGGACAGGGCCCCATGCCTGGGCTCTGACTCCTGATCCCTGGGCTGCCCACGTGGAGGCAGAGCCCGGCCAACCGCCCCCCACCCCCACCCCACCCCTGCCGCCGAAGGGGCCAAACAGCACGTGTAATGTGGGTTGCTCTAAATGCACCAGTGGGTGACCACTTCCTCCCACTTTGAGGGAGCAGCAGGTGCGAGGTAGAGCAGATAGCAGATGTTCCTTCGCCTCAGCTTCCCAGAGGGCCACGTTCCTGCTTCGTGTATCACATTAGGTTAGTTGACTGCACCGTGAGGATGTCACCTTTCTGTCCCTTCAGCAGAGATCTGTAGCTGCAGGCCTGCTCACCACCAAGGGGCCTCCGGGCCTCAAATGTTCGTGGAGGGTTGTCACCGTTTGGCTTCTTCAGCTGACATTAGCAGCCACAGGCCCCTGGTCAGCATGCAGGGCTCAGCTACACCTACTGAGGGGACCCCTCTCTGCTGGCTGGTGGGCTGCACAGAGTCTGCAGCACTGGGCCACTCTGCGTCTTTCTTCCCCCAAGGAATCCAGCACGCAGCACGCCTGACAGCCCTCCTTGTGGTTTTTAGTTGGCATTATAGGTGTTTCTAGATGCCTCGAAGATGGCATTTCTGCTTTCTGTTTCTTGTTCTCTGTGGTTGGCCAGGTACAAAAGAAATGGTATACCATTTAAATTATTAAACCTATATTGTGCCTATATTAATTTCAGTGAAATGGGTAATAACATGAGCACTGTAGTTTGTCTCATTTGCCAAGTGGCTTTCAGGTTATTTCGGAGGTCTAAAGACATGAGCACATTCCTTTCTCATGACTGTGACCATGAAATAAGCTTTTGTGCTAATTATTACTTCTTTCTACAGTTGTGCCGCACATTACTGATGCTGTCCAGGAATGGGTTATGACTCAAGCTATGGTGCCCGTGGATGGTCATAAGGAAGAGCCCCAAATATGCGTTATTGAGGCAAGCATGGAATTTTTCTGTATAAACTTATATCCTTCTGGGTTTTTAAGCATCTACTCTTCATTCATTCAACGCATATGTATAGATGGCCTCCTATGTACTAGACACTGGGCTAGGAGGTGGGATTATAGCAGGGAAGGACATAGACGGTCCCTGCCCTTGGGGGTCACAAGTCAGTGGGCCAGACTGACATTAAACAGGGCGAGTACTCCTGGGACTGTGTGCAGCAACCCGCGTGTAGGGACAGATCAGTTGCAGAATGCTTTCTAGTGAGTGCTGTTCGAGGGTTAAGGATGCTGACTTCTCTCTCACCCCCCAGTCAAAAATCCACGTAACTACTAACAGCCTGCTGTTGACCAGAAGCCTTACCAATAACATAGAGAGTGAATTAATACATACTTTGTATGTTATGGCTGTTACAGACTGTATTCTTACAATAAAACCAGCTAGAGGAAAGAAAATGTTGTTAAGAAAATCATAAGAAAGAGAAAATACATTTACGGTACTGTACTGTGTTTATAAAAAAAAATCCACATATAAGTGGACCCACACAGTCCAAACCCATGTTGTTCAAGGGTCAACTGTATTTGCAAAGTGCTTTGGAAGTAGAGAGAGACTGAGTTAGGGAAATCTGATGGTGGAGGCGATTTGGAGGTGAGAAGTGAGTATTAGCTGCTTAAAGAAAGAACATAGTATTTGAACTTGTGACTTATTTACTGTTTCCCTTCCTCTCAATGAATGAGAATAACGTGCATGTACTCCTTGTCTAAATGTCAGTTGACCTAATTGCTGGGCAGGACAGCAGAATAATGAACAATTTAGTTCCTACGTACTGCCTGCCCAAGTTCAGGTTTCTGCTGTGACCTCTGAGTGATGTAGAGCTCCGTGGTTAAGAATCTGGAGCCAGACGGCTTGGGTTCTTAGCCAAGCTGTGTTACTTACCAGCTGGGTGACCTTAGCCCAGTGTGCTTCAGTTTACTCATCTGCTAAATGGGGATAATATTTTGAGGATTAAATAAGTCAGTACACTTAGTGCTAGAATGGTGTCAGATCTATAGTAAGTACTCAAAATTTATTAGCCATTATTAAGATGCCTGTGTGACTTTTGGCAAATTACTTCTCAAAGCTTCAATGTACTCAACTATAACAATATGACAACAATGTAATATCATAATAAAAGCCAGATGATATTAACAGGGTTGCTGGGAGGAGTAAGTGCAATTGTATAAAGCACTTGGCATGTCTGGTATTCAGGAAGTGTTCAAAAACATGTGAGCTGTTCTTATAGTCATCATTGTCAGGGTCAGCAGACAGATGTTAGGCTATCTGCAAGATCCATTTTGTTAACAGAACTGATGAACTTAACATAAATGTGCTGTGCTATCATATATTAACTATATATTATACTACTATAATAGTATGGTTGATAATATAAATGCGTAAATGTGCTATGCAAAACTTTCTCTCCCTTGCTATTTTTTTTTTTTTAAGATTTTATTTATTTATTTGACAGAGAGAGAGAGAGCACAAGCAGAGGCAGACGGAGAGGGAGAAGCAGGCTCCCTCCTGAGCAGGGAGCCCCATGCGGGGCTCGATCCCAGGACCCTGAGATCATGACCTGAGCCGAAGGCTGACGCTTAACCGACTGAGCCACCCAGGCGCCCCTCCCTTGCTATTTCTTCTTTCACAATTTACAAGGAAAAGAGAGGGTGCTTCCTTTAGAATTTTTTAAAAATTGGAGTATAACATAAACACAGGAAAGTGTACATATCACAGGTATACAGCTTAATGAAGTTTTATAAACTGAACACACCTGCATAACTAAGCTGGTTTCCTTTGAAACATACCTATATCTAATACAGTGAATAGTTTGCAAACAGATTGAGGCAAGGATAAAGACAAATAATTTAAGAAAAGAGAAAGGCAGGTAAAAGCTCCAGGAAGAATAACATCTGATATGAGAACCGGGGCATAGCTTGCCTCTACAGTGAGGGAGACGTACGTGGTTACTCTCTTTATTGATTTTCGAGTTTTAGACCTTGAGAGAGCTTGTTTGGAGGTTCTAGCAGGGGAGCGCAGCTACTCGTATACCCTTGACCGAAGAACGGTCCTCCTCTATCGGGGAAGGTCGTCCTCTTCGACCGAGCGCGCAGCTTCGGGAGGGACGCACATGGAGCGGTGAGGGAGGAAGGGGACACCCGCCTAGCCAGCCAGATCAGCCGAATCAACCCTGGCGATCAATGGGGTGACAGATGTCCCAGCCAGATCAGCCGAATCAACCCTGGCGATCAATGGGGTGACAGATGTCGCAGCCAGATCGCCCTCACATCCGATTTTCGAGTTTTAGAATCAATCCCCAAGATGCATCAGAGAAGGCTTCAAAGCAGGGTTGTAAATGTCAGCTTTGAGGTGGAGGTGTGGAGGGGTGCTGGAGAGGGAGGGAGGGAGATAAGAACTTCATTTTCCACTGTGAGGCAGCTACAGATATCGGTAGTAGTTGGCAGAAAAAGAGGTAAAAATATCTCAGGTTAGTAAAGTAACCAGTACAACTAACAACTGAGATTGGGATCTGGGGATGGGGCAGCAGAGAGCTCCAGCCTCATCTGTTACAGTAGAAGTCCACTTTTGTGTTATTGTAGAAGGTGTCTGAAATGGGCAAGTCAAGAAAGAGTTGAGAGAGATGGTGTTTAGAGATGTGATAGAAACCAGCAGAAGAAATCATGAACAGAGGAGTTAAAACGCTTACCTTGTGGAATCTGGATTTGGAAGCGAAGAGGTGGGGTACAGGACTCCTGCTTTTTACTTTTTTGTTGGGGAGCGAGAATTCCTGTCCCTTTCAAGGTCCTTCTAGCCAGACTAAGAATCAAACTGACAGGAGAGGGATTAATTGAAATGTGCTGTGAATTTTTTTTTTAAAGATTTTATTTATTTATTTAATTGACAGAGAGAGAGCGAGAGAGGGAACACAAGCAGGGGGAGTGGGAGAGGGAGAAGCAGGCTTCCCGCTGAGCATCATGACCTGAGCCAAAGGCAGTCACTTAACCGACTGAGCCACCCAGGAGCCCCAAGATTTGCTGTGAAATTTAAATACACACTGAGCTTCAAAAATAGCATGAAAAAAACCCAGAATGTAAAATACCTAATATTTTTTAAAAAATTGGTGATATGTCAAAATAACATTTTGGATATATTGGGCTATATAAAATATAATGTTAAAATTAATTTCTCCTGTTTACTTTTGTTCTTTTAGATGTGGCAACAAAAAACATTAAGATTATATTTTTATTTTTATTGGACAGTGCTGGTCTAGCACTTTCACTGGTTTTTGCTGTTCTAGCAATAGAAAAGGTAAGGGATCCAAAATGTGTCCATTTTCCCTGAAGAAGAACCAGTCTCTGGCCCAAAAGTAATGACCAATTTTCTAAACCTGAACATTTGTATGACTTTTCCAGTAATTTATTTTCTTTCTTTTAGTTTTTGTAGGTGAAAGAATAGCCCCCCCCTTTTTTTAAGACTATTAACCTTAATCACAGGAAAATTTCCAAATGCTCATGTGTATGGATGTTTTTGCCTCTGCTCTTCTTTTTAAAAAACATTAAAAAAATAATTACAAAAAAGGAGAAGGGGGAAATCTATTTTTTTGTTTCATCGTTTTTATTTTTCATATATCCAGGATTCAGTATATAAATCTTTCGAAATAACGGGATATTACAAGAATAGTTTACAATTCAGCTCTGATTGCACAAATACTTGACACACGAAACCATGTTTTCTTATAGGAATACTTTAATAAAGAAAATAAGTCTCTATACATCTTACAGCAAATCCTATGCAGTTTTTTCCCCATTCAACCATCATTTTGGGTTTTCCATCCCAGCACGTTCATCACATCCAATAAACCAAATTACAATTTGCAGCTGCTTCTCATTTTCAACCATTATTGAGATTTGCACTGTTAAGCGTTTTAGGCTTCTTTTTCTAATTTTTCCTGATCTGAAAGAATTCATGTATTTAAGGTAGAAGAGGTCATTTAAACACGATCCCTTCTGAATATAGCTTGCCGCAGTTGGTGCTTGGTGATCTCACTCCTCACTTAGGCAAGACCAGCTCGTAGCTTTACCCCCCATGGCACCAAGCAGGAGGAATATAGTCCTTGCATTCCTAATGGTTTCTCAACCGCAAAAACAAACCCTAGAAACAAGGGTTAAATTTACAAGTATCAAGAAAGCTAAAACATTTGCTAATGATAAGAACAAAGAATGCTTTCAAATTCAAGGTCTCTCCTAAATTGAAGAAGACATAAAAGAAAGGATGAGGCAGTAGTTCTATAAAATATTGAAACACTAAAAAATGGGGGCGCCTGGGTGGCTCAGTTGGTTAGGCGAATGCCTTCGGCTCCGGTCATGATCTCAGGGTCCTGGGATCGAGCCCCGCATTGGGCTCCTTGCTCAGTGGG